GATTGTTGTGATTTTACGCTGTTGAATTTCATTATGAGAAAAAATAAAAAAAATTATTATTATTATTATTATTTTCGTAATTAAAAAATAGAAGAACGTAAAAAAAAAAAAAAAAAACGCACCGCTTCTCCAGACTGTCGGATTTTTAAATTAAAAAAAAAAAAAAAAAAGGGTTTCGTATTTATTTAATTTTTATTTTTTTTTCTCTAAATGAATCCTTTGTAAGAAACTCCAGGAGGAAACAAAAACAAAATAAAAAAAAACAAAAATTTACGAAACGGAAAGAAAGTTGAAAAAAAAAAATAAAAAAATTCTACGTAAATGATTAAAAAAAAAATTTTTTAGGTCGAATAAATAAAATTTTTTCATTTTTTTTGGCAGTGCGGGAGAGAGAGGAGAGGAAGAGGAGGAAGGGAGAAGGGGAAAGAGAGATGAGGGGGGGAAGAGAAAGAGAGAAGATTTTATAAAAAGGTTTTTTTTTTTTTTTTTAATAATATTTAAAATTCGAAATCAAATCAAAAGGGAAATCGTAGTATATACGCAAATAAGAAAAGTAAACCTTTTTGTGATGATAAAAAAAAAAAAAAAAAAAAAAACAAATTCTTTGAAAAATCGTTGAAAAAGAGTAGGAAACTTTTGATATTGATAAAGTTTTTCCGACTTATCAAAATCGTTCGTTTTCTTTCTTTCTCTCTCTTTTTTTATTTAATGAAAAAAGGTTATTGAAAATTATTTAACAGAATGAAAATGGAATATTCTATAATAAATCGAAATGGAAACCGCAAAAATTTTCTCGAGTTTTTCCTTTTTTTTCCTGCTTTTTTCAATGCAAAAAACTAATAAAAATTATTTGTTTATTATTTTTTTTCAAAGTGGGAGGGGCTTAATAAAAAAAGGGGAGCGTAAGATGATGTATGTTGTTTATGAGTTTTTATATGTATTTTATATTCATCTTACATTTAATATTTAATTAAATTTTTTTCGTAAGAGTCAACGATACGTGATTCGTTTTTGTTTTTTCGTTTTTCAAGGTCAAATTTGTTTCGAACGCGGCCATTTAAAAACCAAAAAAAATAATGATGATTCGTGCGATTCACGGTTAAATATAAATGCATACGAATGTTAACGAATGAAATGGGGAGGGGGGAGATTTTCCGAACCTTATCCAAATCGAAAAAACCGATCGGAAGTGCGAAAAATGTTACGAAAAAGCGAGAAAAAAAAATTTTTTTTTTTTTAAAGCAGAAAATCGTTTCGATGTTTTTTTGTAAAAAAAAAATAGCGAGGGAGAGGGGGAAAGGGGAAATTTAAATTTTCCTCTTGATTTAATCCTGCACTCGGTTTTAAAGGTTATGCATATATTTCTTATGTTGATTTAGAGATTCCGGCGAACCTTATTGCAATTCCAGTCGCAAAATTCATTTCTCCTTTTTTTTCCTCCCTTTCCTTTTCTCTCTCTCTCTTTTTTTTTCTCTCTTGTTTTTTATTTCTTTTTGGATAAAAAAAGAAAAAAAAATTAACGTTTAACAAACGGATGAGAAATTAATTTGTTTCCTGTCAAAGTTTTTTAATATTTAAAAATTTTAAAGGTTAAAAAAAAGATGAAAAGGTTTTTATAAAGCTGGTTTTTATTTTTCCTGTCGGGAAAATTTATTGTTAACAATGATGATGAAAACGTTACGTGGAACAGAGGAGATATAAAAACGATAATGATAAAAAAATAATAATAATAATAATTTTACTAGAGATTGCGATGATGATGCGAAAGAGAAATTACAAATAGAAAATCAAAAAAAAATAAAACTTTTTTTAAATTAATCCTACCAAAAATTAAAATATTTTCTTTGATGGTTTTCTTTCCGTTTTCCAACTCAACAAACATTTTCATTCTCTCTCTCTCTCTCTTTCTCTCTGTTAAAAAAAAAAAAAGAGAGAGAGAGAAAGGATTCGCTTATCCGTGGAAATAAATAATTTTTGTATATGAAAGAAAGAACGAAAAAAAATCCTTTTGTAACCCAAAATTCTGGACAAATTTTTTTTTATTTTTTTATTATTATTCTGCTAGAACCTTATCATTCATTATCCTCCATTTTATCATTACAAAAAAATTCATTCATTCATTCATTCATTCACCCGTTTCGTTTAATTATTTATTTATTTTTTTCCCTCTCCCCCTACTTTTTTTTTTTATTTTTTCTTCTTATTCTTCTTTTTCTTCTTTACGCGACAAAATAATTTTATATAAATCAAATGATTAATTAGTTTGCGACAAATTTTTAATTAAACTTTTAATTTAACTAAATAAATAAAAAAAAAAAAAGTAAGTGAGAGAATAGAAATCCCACAAAAATAAAAGATAATTATTTATTTAAACATTAATTGTTAAAAGTTTTAATTAGAATTTTATATATATATACATATATAATTTTTTTTTTTAATTTATGTTTTTTTTTGTTTGTTTGTTTGTTTTGTTTTCGTTTTCGTTTGCTTTTTTTCTTTTTTTTGATTGATTCCGAAATTCCTATGGCACAAAAAAAAATAGCCGTCATATTAATTACAAATTAAAATTGCAGCCATTTTGAAAAATAAAAAAAAAAAATTCTTATAAAAAAATTTACAAACAAAATATTTTTACAAACAAACAAAATATTAGAAGGAAAAATTATATAAACGTTATTAAAGCCATATATTTTAAAAATGATGACCGGATATGATTTTAAAAAAAAAACGCGGGAAAACTTCTTTAACTTCCTGTTTTGCGCGCCAATTAATAAAGATAAAAAAAAAATTCTTCTTTTTTCTCTCTCTCTCTTTCTCTCTCTTTCATCACGTCAAAATCTATCAAAAAAAAGTTTAGGAAAAATAACAAAGTTAAAACTTTATCTATGTGTGCGTGTGCGTGTGTGTGCGTGAGTGCGCGTGCCTGTACGTAAAATAACAACGCCATTGTTAATGACAGCATTTAATATCTTCGATGCTTCAAATTAAATTCACTATAAAGTTAATATTTTCAACGTTAAAATGTTTATCCTGTTCGCGACAGTAAACATTAATAACTAAAATTTATTGGATTTAATACTAATAATAATAATAATAATAATTAATGAGAAAGGAAAAGAAACGATGATGATGATGATGATAATGATGATGCTAAAAACCTTAAATTATCAATTAATAAAAAAAAAAAATTTAACTGGAAACATTCGACGTGATAACAAATTTCGGTTGTTTTTTTTTTTAAATTTTATTTCGAACAATCGAAAAAAAGAAGCAGAAGAAAGAGAGAGATAGAAAAAAAGAACATGATGTGAAGGAAAAGGAGAAGGTGGGAGGACGGGAGGAGGAAAGGGGAGGGAAGGGGGAAAAGTTTAAACTTAGGTAAAACCATTAAAAACCCTTGAAATTCAATAGAAAAGTTTTTAATTTTACTTTACACAAACTGTCAGTAACTAGTTAGTTTTTTTTTTCTCTTTCTCTCTCTCTCCTCCTCCTCTTACTCTCTCTCTCTCTTTTTTCTTCCGTGATTTTACATTTGATTGAAACACACACACAGAGAAAATTTCTTCAATTTTATTGTTTTTTTAAACACTGATATACGAAAATGTAATTTAACAAAAGAGAATCAGACAACCAAGTAAAATAATAATAATAATAACGTAGAAAACGTAGGAAAAAGGAAACAAAAAAAAAAAGTGGAAAAGGAAAAGAAAATTCGGACCTTAAAAGGTTTTTCCTTTTTCTTTCCTCCACCACCCCTTACATTTTCTCCATGTTTCGTTAAAGTTAAAAAACTTTTTATTGTTTTTTTTTTTGTTTTCTTCTTCTTGTTATTGATTTCTACTCGAACTGATAAAAAAAAAAGATAGATAAACAGATAGATAGATAGATAAATAAGTGTACAAAATCTTTAAATATAAGAAGTAAAGAAAAAAAAACTCATGGAATTTATTACGACCGTTAAAAAAAATTTTTTTTTTTCCTTTCTACTCCATGCACTGGAAAAGTTTTCCATATTTTATAACCGAAATTATCAAGTTTTGGTAATTGATAACTTAAATTGTTATGTTAAAGCTAAAAGCATTACCGAAAAACTGACAGGAACAGAACGTAAAAATGATGATGGAAAAATAAGAGATGATGCTGGAGAGAATAAAAAAAAAAAAGATAGAGAGAGAGAGAAAAAGGATTTTCAGATGGAAAACTTAAATTTTGCCTCTATATGAAAAATATATATTAAAACACTTTTGAAAATTATTTAATGATCCTTTTATTTTAAAAAAAAATACTGGAATTATTATTATTATTATGGGAGTCGGGAGAAAAAATTTCCAGGAAAAAAAAAGCACATGATGTAAGATGTGGAAATTTTTTTTTTTTTTTTTACTAATGGAAATACTGGAGAAAAAGGAAAAAATATGAATTTGAAAAATAAAATAAAATAAAAAGAATGCATTATTTGAGTTGGGGAGAGGATGGGAGGGAGGAAGAGAGGGAGGGGGATACTATAGGATATAAAAAAAAAACTTTTATTTTTTTTCTGTCTTTCGGACGTACAAAATAAAAAGTGGGACGAGAAAAAAAATAAAAAAAAAGAGGGAATATAATTTTAACAATCGTTTTTTTTTTGTTTTCGCTTGCGCCACGTTTTTCTGATAAGAGAGAAAAACCAAAAAATCCACAAAAAGATTAATTGGCAGGGAAACGGGTTCGGAAAAAGGAGGTTTATCACATGTTAGATAAATGATTTTGCGGAATGCAAAATGCTTTTAATTAAGTTTGTTTGGAGGGGAGAAATGAGGTTGTGGGGGGGAGAGGAAAGAGGAAACTATGAGGAAAATGAAAGGAAAGTAAAATTGGGGGAAAAAAAAACAAAAAAACAAAAAAAAAAAAGTTTTCCATATAATTTTTTTCCGATGCGAACAACACGTGCTGTCTTTTCTCCCTCTTCCTCATTCCTTCTCTCTATCTTTCACCCTTTCTCTCTCTCTCTTTCTGACCTATTCTCATTCTCTTTTTCTGTCCCATCCTTTCTCTCTTACTCTCTCTGACCTATTCTCATTCTCCTTCTCTGTACCATCCTTTCTCTCTTTCTCTTTCAGTCTCACTCTTTCTCTCTTTCATACACTTTCCTTCTTCCTCTTTCCCACCCTTTGTCTCTGTTTCTCTCACTCTCTTTCTGTCCTACTCCCACTTTCTCTCTGTCTTTGTCCTACTCTCATTCTTTCTCTTTTCCTGTCTGTCTCCCTCTTGGACCCACCTTTTCTCTCTCTCTTTATCCAGCTAAAATTTTTTTTTGTTTTGCAATAGATTTTTCCCATTAAATTAATTTAACATTTAAAAAAAAAAAACAAAATTAAGGGTTAAGGACAAAGTTACTGCCGGAAGCGATAAGAAAAAAAAAAAAAAAGGATCTCCTTGATAATTTTTCCAGACGAAACCAAATTTTTCCATTAAAAAAAAGTAAAAACAACTGGAGAAAATATATGTATGACGTAAATAATTAAATAAAAACAAAATAAGTAGAAAATTTTCTGTAATGTAGGTGTATATTTATATATATTAGTCATGTAAACTTGACAACGTTATCAGTAGGGCAAAATAGATAAAAATCCAGAGAAATAATAAAGTTTAAAAAAGTGTAAAAAACTTCTCCAGGGAATGTATTATGGAAAAAAAAAAAACTTTTTCACTTGGATATAAATGATGTATCAGAAAGTTTTTTTGGAAAAAAAAAAAAAACTTGTTACAAGAACACATTATCCTACCTAAAATTAATATATTCATAACCGGTTTTCCTTTTTTTTCCTTATCATCATCATTATCATCTCCATTTCGTTTTCTATCTCTTTCTTTCTCTCTCTCTCTTAATTCTTTTCATACTTACTTACGAAACTTGTTTATTTTTTTTTAATAATTATACTTTCTTATGTAACTTACTTTAGAAATTTGTATCGGGCGTAATGTTTTTCATAACCGGAAATTGTTTTTTAGAATAACGTTCTTCCATCTGGAGAAAAAAGTAGAGAAGGTTCCAGCATAACGATCGAACAAGCGACTCGACACCAGGCTGGAACTTATCTTTGTACAGCATCAAATGGAGTCGGAGATTCGGCCATACAATCCATCAATCTTCACGTTTTGTGTAAGTAATTTTTTTTATTTTTTGATAACGATAATAATGATAACGACGACGATGATGATAATGATAATGATGATGAAGATTTACTTTCCGCAACAACAATAAAAAAAAAATTTTTTTTGATAAATAAAACTTAACTTTAAAATTTAACTTTAGGCATTTCCTGTTGAGTTTTTACTTCTTCTTTTTCTTTTTCTTTTTCTTCTTCTTCCGTTTCCGGTTTTTTTTTTTTTATTTTACATTTAAAAATTTATTTTTTTTAACTAAGTCACGAAAAATTCTTATTATTATTATTATTTTTTTCTTCTTTCTCATTTTCTTCTTGTTTTTTTTTTTTTAAACTTCCTTTTACACCATTCTATAATTTTTAAACTATATAAATATTTTTGTCGCAACACGTTTTATATTAAAAGTATTTTTACGCTATAAATTTGTTTTTTTTTCTTTTACTATAACTATAAATTTGCAGGTGAGCAACTTAAAAAAAAAAAAAAAGTTGAAAACAAAAAAAAAAAAAAAATATTTTACTGCCGTCCTCCGCAACGCATACGTAATATTTATTAACTATTATCATTATCATTTTTTTTTTTAATAGCAGAAGACGTTAATGATAACTTGTCGCTATAAAAAAAATATTAAAGGATTTATAGCGTATTAATTAATTTTATAGCAACTTCGATAATTTTTTTAAAAACGCGCGCGTGCGCGTCTTTAGAAAAAATAATTTCTTACACGGGGGGAATTGAACGTAAAAAAAAAAAAAGATTCTAAAAGGGAATGAGGTCGGAGGTTAAAGGTTAAAAGATAATAATAATAATAATAATAAAAACTTTTACGAGGGAAAAAAGAAAAAAAAATATCAAAAAGTTTGCAAAAAAAAAAAAAAAACACACGACCGAATCGATTTTATCATCATCATCATCATCATCGCTATCACTTTTTTTTTTTTTTTTTTTTTGAAAAAAAAGGAAAAAAATTTAATATTTTTTTCAATAAGGGAAAACCTGGAAAAAAGCAATTTGAAAGGTTTTTCCGGGTAATTGGAAATAAGAAAAGAAAATTCCAATGGGTTTAGCTTTTAAGGTATAAAAAAAAAAAAAAAATTTTTTCTTAATTCCTTTTTTTTTTTTTTTTTCTTCATTTTGTTTATTCCTTACATATCTTTTCATCATCATCATCATCATCATCGTTATCATTATTATCATCATAGTTGTAGTCGTCGTCGTCGTCTGCTCCTTTTTTTTTTGTTCTTTTTAAATTAAATTTTTAGATAAAAATTCATTTGACGATTTTGTAATTATAAATCTTCGTTGATGTAAAAAAAAAAAAAAAAAAATTTTCTCCGGTTTTCCATTTAAACAAAAAAAAAAAAAAGCAAAAAAAAAACATATTTTTATGTCGTTTTTCTTGTTGTTGTTGTTGCTGTTGTTCTTGGGGTTGTTGGGGTTGTTGCGGTTGTTCTTATTGTTGTTTTAAATAACAAAATGATTTTTTAACCAAAATACAACGACATTTTAATTTTTTTAGTAAAATTTACAATTCGCGAGTGTAATTTTTATATCTCGTCGTTTATCACGATGAATGATTGATTGATTGATTGAACGAATTTTTTTTTTTATACCTCGCTTATTAATCACCCGAAATTTAATTTTTTTTGCCTTCTTCCGGTTAATAAATTACAGAAAGCGAAATATTAATTTTTTTTTTCCCACTCTTTCGTTTAAACCTTCACATCTCTCTCTCTCTCTCTCATGTTTAAACCTTCGCACCCCCCCTCTCTCTCTGCCGTTATCCCTTCACATTCCTCTTTCTCTGTCTTTTGTTAAACATTCACATGCCTCTCTTTTTCGTTAAACCTTCACATCCCCCTCTCTTTCTTTCTCTCTCTCGTAAAAGCTTCACATCCTTCTCCCTCTCTCTTTTTTGTTTAACCTTCATATCCTTCTCTCATTCGTTTAAAACCTTCACATCCTTCTCTCTCTCTCTCTCTCTCTCTCTAAAATTTACAAAATCCCAAAACGATTCCAATTTTAAATATAGTTTAATCATCATCATCATTATTACTACTTTTAATATTTATTTTTTTATTTAAACTTTTTTTTTTTATTTTATTTTTTGACCAAAAATACCAACAGCAACAGCAAAAAGAAAAAATTTATTTATTTATTTATAAAAGAAAGTGGAAGAAAACAGTTAATAAATAAGAAGAGAAAGATAGAAAATTTTTTTGGGCAAAATGCCCGAAACGGGATAAAAAAAAAAAAAACAGACAAACAAACAAACAAACAAATATAAAGAATAGAAAGAAAAAAAAATCTAGGAAAACGAATAAAAAAAAAAAAGAGAAAGAGACAGAAAGACAGAGAGATAGAGAAGGAAAAGACAGACTGGAAAAAAAAAGAAAAAAAAGAAAAACGTATTTCCGGTTTTTTATGTATTTATTATATATGTGAGACTTAAATTTTGAATCGTTTGTTCGGGTTTAACTTTTTTTTTTCAATTATAAATAAATTTTTAGTTAAAATGTCGGAAAAACAAACGAAAAAAAATTTTTTTTTTATTATAAATTCGTTCACGTTTCGCCATTTAAAAAGAAAAACATTTGCAATAATAATAATAATAATAAAAGAAAAAAAAATAGTTTGAAAGATAACTCTTTTGTAAATCGTATGGTATTTAATAGAGAGAGGAAATGACGTCATAAAACGTCGGTCGAGTGATTAAACGCTATTAAAAAAAACATAAAAATTTATTTTTTTTAAAAAATTCAATCGTTTCCATCTCTTCTTCTTTTTTTATCCATGACAATAGAAAAGAGAGAGAGAGTACGATTAAGGGAATGAATGATAAGAAAGGAAAAAAATTGATGACGATGATTATGATGACGTCATTTTAACAACGAAACGTATGGAAAAACAAAAAAACTCGTGGAGTTAAATTTTTTTTTTTTTTTTTTTAAATTTCATTTTCTTTTGTATTTCCGGTGTGGAAAACTTAACCGGAAGTTAAAAGGAAAGGGAAATGAATAAGGTTGCGATGGGTAAAGAGGTGGGGGAAATGATGACGTCACCGTGACGTAAATATATTTTAAATTTAATTTTTTTTTTAAATTCGTACGCGTGCGTAATCACACGTGTTTCGCATGTTTTTAAAATTTTATTTTCACCTTTTTTAAGTGAGTTTAAGTGCGTTTTCTTTCCTCCTACCCCTCCCCTCTTTCATAATTCGAAAAATTAAAAAAAAAAGAAAAGAAAAGAAAAAGTTTTCCGAAAAAATTTCACATAATTTACAAAAAAAAAAAAACTACGTCTGGTACGTCTGGAGTGTGTTTAAAAATTCTAACAACAAACAACAACAACAACAACTTGTTAAAAAGCTCTCTATGTCTCTCTCTCTCTCTTACTTACAATCTTAAATATTTATTTTTTCTTAATTGCTTACGCGAGAAAAAGTAAATTATGGAAGCCATTTTTTTTTAATGGAACACAACACCTCGGGTTGAAAAATAATAATTTACATCGTTTTTTCTCTTTTTTTTTCTATTTAAAAACGTATTATTTTATTCTCTTTATTGTATTTTAATGGTTTATTTATTTAATAAATTTTTTTTTCTTCTGCTACTTCCTAACCGCCCCTCTCCCTCCCCTTCCTCTCCTTTAAAAAAAAAAAAAGGATCCATTTGATTTGGAGGAAAAAAAAAAAATTAAATAAATATTATTTTTCTATTAACTGGTGTTGGGGGGAAAACGGAAAACCGACAAAAAAAAACGTGGAAGAAGAATAAGACAAAGAAAAGCAGAAGATTTTCTTTTTTTTTGACGACGGAAACAAACGAGACGTCCGTCGAAAAATGTTTTTTTTTTTTTTCGTCAAATAAAAAAAAAAATTAAATAACGAATTTTTTTTTTCATCGTTTTTCTTTCCCCCCCGGGATCTTTTTGTAGGGAGGGAAGGAAGAGGGGTAAGGGGGAGGGAGCAAAGTGACCGCAAATGTTTCTTAAAGGAAAAAAAAATGATTTAAAATGTTTTTACACGACGGTATGCGAAACGAAGTAAAAAAAAAAAAAAGTGTCACCAACAAATGTAGCCTCAGAAGATAAATTTTTTTTTTTTTTTTGCAAAATTAAATTCGAATTTGTTCGGTTTCGTGCGACTCCTTCCCACCCGCCTACCTCCTCCCTCCTCCTCCCCAACGAAAAAAAAATGGTGGGGGGAGGGGAAAAAAATTTATAAACTGACAATTTTTTTTTTTTGTTAATAAAAATAGATCCACCGGAAGTTGAAGTCGAAAGAAGTTGGGTACATTCTGGTGAAGGTTTCGAAGCTCAACTTGTTTGCATCGTACACGCAGATCCACCATCCGACGTAAGTTAAACACAAAATTCGGATAAATATTCCACCGTTTCCTCTTTTTCTTTTCGAAAAAAAAAATAATAATAATAATGATAAATTTTACCGAAGGTTTTATGGTACAGAGATACATTGAGACTGGATACGACAGAAAGGAGAAGTTTTGAAACAAGAGGAAGTCGCCATACATTAATTATTCGTAAAGTACAAGCATCGGATTTTGGAAATTATAGCTGCGTTGCTGATAACACCCTCGGGAAAATGCGTCAATATCTCCAACTTTCAGGTGAGAGAAAGAGAGAGAGAAAGAAAGATAATTAAGATAAATTTTAAAATGTTTCTTTTTACCTCTCCCCCCCACATTCGTTTCCGTTAAATTAAAATTTTTTTTTTTACAGGTAAACCGAATCAGGTTGCGTTCAATAGTAATCCAGTTAGCAGATATCACGACAGTTACAACATTTCATGGATTGTTAACAGTTACACTCCGATAGAAGAATTTAAATTATTTTTTAGAAGGATACCTGAAACCGGAAATCAGGATTTTATGTCTTACCATCAATATTCTAGAAAATACGAAAAGAGAGTAAGATTTGTGTGTGTGTGTGGCGTGCGTGCGTGTGCTCGCATAAATTATTGAAAATTTTTTTTTATGTATACACGTATAGGAAAATTCATCTCTGGACCATTCGCATCACATATTACATAACAGAATACACGATTGGAATGACGTCATATTACCAGCAATACCAAGCGAATTGTTCAGTCAGCAAATGTCTTATTTGATAAGAGGTTTGGAACCATCATCTCAATACGAAGCAAGAGTTCAGGCACGTAATCGTTTCGGATGGAATCAAATCTCGGAAATTTTTAGATTTTCAACAAGAGCCATAGGTAATCTCATCTTATCTCTTATCATTTTTTTTTTTTAAATGAAATTCATAATGATTACGTCGGACGAAAAACAAAAACAAAAAAAAATTTCGAATTTAAATTTTAAATTAAATTAAATATACAAATTTATTGTTTTTGTTGTACCGAAAAAAAAAGATATATGAGGAGGGGGAGGGGGAATCTCGTTTACGTAAAAAAAAAAAATAAACCGCTACTGAACCAAAAACTTTAATCCCGAGGGTAAAAAAAAAAAAAAAACCAAAATCAAACCGCAGGATACGCAAAATTAATATTTTTTTTTTTTTTGGATAATGAAATTCACGGTTTAATGGTAATTTAATTTTAAAAACCTTTTTTTCTTTTATTATCATTATCATCATCATCATCATCATCATCATCATCATCGTCATCGTCATCATTATTATTATTACAACAAAAAAAAAAAAAAAACTTTTGATCTGGTTAATATGTATAATTTTTCATCATATAATTTAATGGTTTTTCTCTTCCTCGTGACCTTTTCCCTCCTCCCACCCCCCTTTTCGCATTTTGTTTACGAAAAAATTATATGCGTTGATTTAATGTAATTAATAAAAAATTATCCATGTTAATTAATTAATTAATTAATAATAATAATGACGATAAACTTTGGAAAAGGGAAAACAAAAAAAAAGAAAAAAATTAATTTTCATTTATTTATTTTTTCATTTCATCATCATCATCGTTTCGAATCAATTAAACTGATAATAAAAAAATAATAATAATTTTCATTTTAAAAAAGTTTTCACATTCGTCAAATAAATCTGAATGATTGACTGATTGATTGATTGATTGATTTTGGTTTGTTCGAATGCGTTTGAATGACAAGCAAACACCATTTTTTTTTTTTTTTTAATATCTCAGGAGAAATGCGGATTTACGCACTTACCCCTCCGAAGAGGGAGTGTGGGACTCGGTATGGAATTGAAGAAAGCCTTACCGGGAACCCATACCCACTAAAACTCCTGAGCATGTCGCAATAGCGTGGCTTATATGAAGAGGGGGGGAAACGCTCGTGGGAGTAGAACCTACATTTCAGTCGCCCCTCTCCAGTAAGTCAAAACCGTTCCACACAATTTATTTAGGGAGAGATCCGTCCTAATCTTTGTTCCGCCGTCACCTCGAAAATAAGAACGCATCTCCCAGGACGTTCGGCAGTCCCCTTCAGGAGTGTCCTCCGGTCCTTCGCTGGGGGGGGACGGGAAGCTCGCCTGCTTTCAGAGAATGCGATCGGGAGGGAGGATATAGGGCAACTTCGCCACCTGTTAAACGGGGTATAGATAAAAGTAAAGAGATGAGTTGACCGCATTCTCCCGCTCTAACCAAACACATCGTCGACGTCCTCTTCCTCGTCTTCCTCCTCCTTTCGACGACGCTTTCTCGCCCTTGTCCGATGACGACGGTCAGGCACTGCTCCTTCCTCCTCTCCTTCCTCATCTTCCTCATCAGGGAGATCTTTTCTTTTCTTACCCCTTACCCTAGCTGTCCGGAGCATACGACGACGAACTCCGGACTTTTCGCGTTCGCGCTCGCAGTTGTCTTTCGCGCGCAACACCGCTTCCAAAAATCGCGAGATAGCGAACTATTCCCGTGGTTCACAAAGCAACGCGTCCACGGGGCTTCGGATCGACAGGTCGAGTCCGATGGCTCCGACAAACCGTTGCTTGTGTTCGTCCCACGTGGGACATTTCACGATCGTGTGCTCGAAGTTCCTCCTCGGGCGCACCGCAAAACCAACACTTCGCCGTCTCCTCTCTGCCGATGCGCGCCAAGTACGAGCCGAACACACCGTGACCCGTGAGGACCTGAGCGAGACAATACGTCAGACTCCGTGACCCCGCCCCACCTGGTCTCTCACTCGGGAGCTGAGGGCGTCGACGATTTCGCCGCCGTATCGTTTTTTCCCTTCGTTAAAACGCGGCTGCCAAATGTTAACCGTTCGAACGCGAAGTTCCCTGCGAAGGCGAGCCCTCCTCGGCCCGCCGTGACTCCGTTTGCGATAGAGGGCGAGTCTCTCCATCGTGAGAAGATCGAGCAGGAGGGTGCCCGACAGAAGACAAGCCACCTACGCCATCGCCACCTTGTTCAGAGATGCCCTTTGGAGTTGGATCGCCTTTTCGCGAAGCGGCCGAGATGCCGTGACTGACTCGGCCCAAACCGGAGCTCCGTACAGAGCCACGGAGTGGACGACCATCGCATACAACCACCTGACCCTCGCTCGCGGACCCTGCAGGTTCGGCATCAAGCTCCCTAACGATGCGCTCGGATCTCCGGTCCGAGGAGCGCGAGGTGTTGCTCGAAAGTGAGTCTCGAGTCGAAGGTGACCCCCAGGAATTTGAGCGTCCTCCCCACCCCGATTCTGACTCCTCCAGACGACAGTGCCAGTTCGTTTGGAAGCTGATTCCTCCGACGGTGGAATCCGCACGCTTCCGTTCTCGGCAGAGACACCCGCAGTTTGATGCCGCGAATGACCAAAAGTCCTGATTCCGCACGTTCGCAAACTTCCGCCCATCTGCGACCGGTCGCGAGAAGCAGGGGTGTCGTCCGCGTAGCAAATTAAGGAGTAACCTTTGGGAAGAACGGCCCGGGTGAGGACGTAATCGTAAGCGATATTCCAGAGGAGCAGTCCGAGGACCGACCCCTGGGGCACGCCGCAGAAATCGTCCGCCGTTTCCGTCGTTCCGTCCGGTTTCTTGTACGATTTCTTTCCGAAAGGAAAGACCCTATCAGCGCCACGAGGTATTCGAAAACGGACTTCTACCTCAGTTCACTCCTAATGTCGTGCCACGGAACGAAATTGAACGCGTTTTTAACGTCGATAGAAATCGCGATCGCGACTCCGCCCCGGCGCCGAGTTTCCCCGATTTTGTCTCAGACTCGAACGAGCGCGTCAATCGTGGATCGGCCCGGAAGCCGTACTGATTCGGAGAGAGGTTGTTCCACCCTTTGTCCGCCCCATATGAGTGATTATCCGCGACGCCACCACGCGCTCGAACAACTTGCCCTCCACATCGAGAAGACAAATTGGCCGATACGCCCGGCGTCGACGGGTCCCTACCCGGTTTTTCGAGCAGCACGAGGTTCGCCAAATTCCACTGCTTCGGAAACGACGCCCCCGCGAAACACGCGATGATTTGCCGAGGATCCAGGTAATGCACGACGTTTTGACCGGGAGCCGCGCACTTCTTGTCCGCGTCGAGGGGGATGTGGATCTCTCTCTCGGTAACTCGGTCGCGTTTACGGTCGAAAGCGAAATCAGTCGGAGGGAACGCGTAGAACGCGACGCGAGGAAAGAGCTCCGCGATCATTTTGGCAAGAAACTCCCTCGTCATACCGGCCGTCAGCAGCCCAGACGAACTCCGCAGTATTTTCGTCACGATGCTCAGGAGCTTCTTTCAACTCTTCTTTCTCGAACTCCATATTGCTCGGCGAACCCGAACCCGCGACGCCCGACACTCAAACCCAGCATAACGTCGTCCGCGAGGATGTTTTCGTAATCTCCTCCGCAGCGGAGGAGTTCATGTTCCCTATTTTCGAACCGGCGACGAGCGGAACACCACTCCTTCCACAACTCTATTATCTCGTCCATCCACTAGTATTTTGGCTGTTGTTTGCGCTCGTTCGATCACGACGCGACCCTCCTCTTGCACGAATCCGAGATGCGACGCAAATCGTCCCGAATCCCCCGAGTCACTTGCCGACGTTTCCCTCTCCCGATTCTAAATTGGCCTTTCGCCACGACTCCGCGGCGAGACACTCGACGAGCCGCTCTTCGTCCATCGTCCTCAGGCTCCACCGGGGCGGAACGACGACGCGAGGACCGCCGGACCGAGAGGCAGCCCCCCCCCGAACTCCGAGGAGCTCCGAACGAGAACGCCACGTAGGCGTGATCGCTCAGGGACTCGAAATCGGAAAGGACCTCCCAGCCGGAGACCCGCGCCGCGGCCACGACGGAAGAAAACGTAAGATCGATCGCGGATTCGTCGGTGGCCCGCACGCAAGTTTTAGCTCCTTATTTGTTTCGCACGACGAAATGACGCGAATCGAACCACTCCTTGAGGAGTCGGCCGCGCGCGTTGTTTGCGAATTGTGCTTCGCGTTGAGTCGCCGCAGACGAGAGTAGGACGGGATCCTCCCCCAAACCGACCGAACACCCTCGCGAGCGCCTAAGGGAAGTCTTCGAAGTGCCTGACGGGGCGATTGGGTGACGCGTAAGCCGAAACCAGAACCGCGTTTCCCCAGCCCACCAGAACGAAATTCTCCCCCGTGACAGCTCTCGAGGCCTCGGCGTCCGAGTCGAGCTCGAGAATAGTATCGCGGCCGCGCCGTCCTCTGATTCGAATCAAGAACCGTCGCGGCTTTTTCCCCTTTTCGGAACGACGTAGGGTTCCGAAATCATGACGGCGTCGACCCCCCACGCGCCCACCTCATTGAGCAGGAGATTTTGCGCACCCCTGCAGTGATTCAAATTGACTTGGAGAAACTTCGCCATGCTTACGTCGAACTCTGGGCAGAGCCCTTCGTTCTCGGTTCGCACGAAGAAGCTCCCCGCGTCTCACCCCCCCGTAATCCAGCACTCCAACGGATGGCTTTTCCCTTGAACGAAGGCGCCGAGCACGAAGGACCGCCCAACCGGTGATTAGCCGGACGGCCGGTCTCCGCGCACGCCGCGCAACGAATGGAGTTCGCGCAAGCGCGCGCCCGGTGCCCTGTCCCTCCGCATCGGAAGACGCACCATAACGTCGGAGATAGAACATCCCTTGACAACGCGAGAGCGACGTCGTGCGACGTCGCGGACTCGCAGAGACCCTCGACGCGGTGGTCGACCCTTCTCGCAGGACACGTCGTCGTGACCCCCATCGGCCCCACGACCTTCGAGAGCTCCGCAAGAAGTTCCGCCGCCTTGGCCGCCCTGTTTTCACCCTTTATTTCGAACATCCTCCCCCCGTTCGCGGACAGACGGATCCTAAGGAAGTCGATTCCTAACGTTACCAGATCTACGCGATCCCTCGCGGCGGCCAAGACCTCCGCGAAGGATTTAGTACCCTCGTTCCTGTTCAATATCACCGCGGCCGTCCGCGGCGTTTTTATTTTTCGTGCCGAAGCCAACTTCGGCTTTTTCCCCTGGGACTTGGTGTGCTCCTGCACCTTTTTCCGGGAGGGAGCAGGAGCGGATTCATCAATTTTCTTCCTCTCGCCTGCAGCGGCTCGTTTCGCACGCTTTCCCCCTTTCGCGGCCGCACCGCGACGAAGGCGTCGTCGCCTTTGCCACGGACGCAAACGTCGGCGTAAACGACCTCT